GGTTGGTGGGTGGTGCCATGATAATGACATGACGGTAGAAGTAGCGGTGGTGTTGTGGTGGCGGTGGTGAGTCTGATATGCACAAGCACGCATCCCACAAAACATTTGCCACACACACACACACACACACACACACACACACACAAACAAGCACAAACACATACATAACAAGCAAACACACACAAACACAAGCCATACACACACACACAAGCCATACATACACACCCACATATCACACTGATCACACACAAGACAACCTGCGTGGGTCATGGCCTGTGCAAAGTCAAATCGGCCCGTGTTGAGGACGAGGGACGGGTCAACGCGCGAGTGCTGCGTGGTGACAAGCTTTGCGCCGGGATTGAGCTGCGTGATGACACCCCTGATGCGCTTCAGCGTCGCCCCATCCACAAGGTCCGTCTTGTTCAGCAGGATGATGTCTGCAAACTCAACTTGATCCACCATCAGGTCTGTCAGCGTGCGCATATCGTCCTCAAACCCTTCGCCCTCCTCAACGTCGCCCACAACCCTGTATGTATGTGCGTGCAGTGTCAGTGGGACCACAGCAATTGCATCAGCAGTGCGTGGTGGTGAGCTGATGGAAGGCAGCATTGATTGTGCAGCGACACGTGGACAGTTGGATGCTTGGATATGTCTCTTGCATCTGAAGCATATGAAACAAACGTTGCATGTACACGCACACACACACACGCACCACGCATGTGCACACACACACACCACACACACGCACACACACACACACACCACACGCACACACAGACCTGTCATCTTCAAAGGTCTGGAGGAAGTTGAAGGCGTCAATGACAGTGACGCACGCGTCCAGCTGCGCAATGTGTGCCAGCCTGTCCTCTGGCTTCTCCGCCAAGATGAGATCCGTGAGCTCCTCAAGCCCTGCCTCCTGCACCATCTCCTTTGCCTCCGGATCATCGCTTGCAGCGCTGGCCATCAACATGAACGTTTCCGCCACCTGCAGTGCCCGCGTGTGTGTGTGTGTGTGTAAGGTTGCGCATGAGTGAAGAGCGGGCACACAAGCAGGCAACAAGGTGACAACCCACAGCCACTAAGCAACGCAGCAGCTTTCACACCAAATACAGCAGCGACAGCAGCGACAGCACGCACACAGTACACATACACACGCATGCACACTTACACGCACGCGCACACATGCACACAAGCTCCGCTATGGGTTACCTGGATGGGCTCGGAGATGCCGGTGCTTTCAATGATGCAGTAGTCGTAGTGCTTCGAGCGCGCCAGCTTGGCCAGTGCACGCAGCAGGTCCACACGCAAGGTGCAGCAGATGCAGCCGTTCTGCAGCTGCACCAACTCTGGCTGATCCTCCTTCAGCTCCGTCACGACGCCATTCTTCACAAGCTCCGCATCCACGTTCATGCTTGCCATGTCATTCACAATCACCGCCCTGGCGTGTGCAAGTGTGCAAGGGGTGAAGGAAGAGGAGGGTGAGTTGAGCTGTGGTTGTGTGATCTTGTGATGGGAAAGCAGCCAAGCACAAGTGTAGCAGGGCTGCACAACCAGACAACCGCACCTGCAACAGCAGAAAATCACGGAGAGTACACCTGTACACAGACAGGAACGAGACCACAGATACACCAAACCGCGCACAGCAAGACTTTGCAGCAGGCACATGTCTCCATGTCTCATCATACGTGCTGCTGTGTGAGAGCACTTGGACTTACATGCGCGCGTCCTTCATGGTGCTCTTCTGGCTGAGGAGATGACGCAGGAGCGTCGTCTTCCCCGCTCCAAGGAACCCGCTCAGCACCGCGACTTTCATGTCATCAAATCGTCACAGTTGCTTGCTTGCAAGCAAAAAAGCAAAGCAAAAAAGCACAACAAGAAGCAAAGCGGGCGTTAATTTTGCTAAGCGACAGCACAATGTGGAGTGGGCTCGTGGAAGCGCTGACGAAAGCCGCTGCGGCCGAAGACCACACGCCATGTGGTGGTGGCGGCGTGTTGGCGGAGGTTGAGGAGCGAGGGTTTGCGGTGGTTGACGATGCCTGGCCGGCCGCGCAAGTGGCGCAGCTGAGGAACGAGATTGAGGCCCTGCATGCGGCGGATTGCATGGAGCCGAATCAGGTCCAATTCGCCACGGGCTCTGGTCCCATTAGGCTCACAAAGCCCGGCATCTTTGAAGCAGACATGCACCATGATCAGCGGCGGCAGGCGTGCCCGGGCTTTGACCAGCTGTTCCACACCGTGGCTGAGCTGCAGAGCTGTCTCGCGACAAGGTTCGACGTCGCCCTGGAGCCCGACGCACGACCGCCGGCTGCACCGTGCACAGCAGCCACCGAGGTGCCTGCGACGTCCACGAACGCCACGCACAGCTCAACAACACAGGAGCGCGGCACAGCCAACAAGGTCACCAAGCACACGGAATCGGCCGAGGGAGAGCAGAGTAAGGACCCAGACAACAAGAATGCAAGAGACCCAACGGCAGCCACGGATGATGATGCGCGTTCGAGTGGAGAACAGCAAGAGCAGCTGCAGAAGAACCAGCAGTTTAGCACCTTCACATTGAAGCTGCAATACAACGATGGCACGGGCGGCTGTTTCCCATATCACTACGACAACCCCGCGCCCCCGAACAAGCGGCTCCTGACCGTGCTCGTGTACCTGAACGCAAACTGGCAGCAAGGGGATGGCGGCGAACTGATGTTGGCGCCGTTCCTGGGGAAGCCGCAGGTGATCCCGCCGCTGGAGAACCGCACGGTCATCTTCCGATCGGACAGGATCCTGCATCGCGTGCTCAAGGCAAGCAAACCGCGCGCGTGCTTCACGCTCTGGCTGGACGGCGCCAACACCAACACGGACGACGTTGTGTTTCTGCGCGAGAAGCACTTGACTCCGGCCTTTGTGCCCGAGCTCGTGCGCTCGCCCCTGCAGCGCACGCTGTCCCGTGCTGTGTACGAGGAAGAGTATGAACGCAGCTTGCGTGAGTGCTTTGGCGCCAACCCACGCGACACCAAGTACGCTGTAGCTCTGCATCGTGCCCACCTTAAGCAAACCTTGGCCAACGACAAGCTCCGGCAGTTTGTCCAACACCTCAAGACGGCCCGTCAGTGGTGATCTCTGTGTATGTGTGTGTGTATGTGTGCCTGTGTGTGCTGTGTGTCTTTGTGCGTGTGCTGTGTACGTATGTGTGTGTGTGTTGTGTGCTTGTGTCATGTGCGTCGATTTGTTGATGTCTATGCGGTTGCGTAGCTTGACCTCACATAAGCGGCAAGCACACACAGTTACATGCATACACGAGACCCGCTGTCGTTTTTCTTCCTCGTTCTGTGTGCACATTGGCTTGCCTTTTGTTCGCGCTGTGTCTTGTAGCCTGTGTCTCGACAGAAGCCTGTGTGTCATGCGCATTGGCGCCTTTGTGTGTGTGTCAGTGTCTCCATCCACTAGTGACCCTGTGCAATCCCAGCATGATCTTATTCCTTGCGCAGTATTTCTTTCTCTGCCTTGTTGCTTCAGCTCTCCAAGGTATCCTTCGACCCTTCCGCTTCAAGCCAAGCTCTTGTCACAAGCACAGCTGCTCTGCATTAAACAACTCATAGGTCACACCACACAAGAAGCACAAGGACACCTCACACCTCACACACACACACAACTAACCCTGGTTGTACACCCCTTCACTCTGCGTTCCCGCGGTTTTTCGCGTGCACATTGCAAGTTCTCTGTCCACCACCAACGACACGAAACCACAACACACCACCGCCGCAAGCACAACACACCACCGCAATCACAACCCCACCCGCACGTCCATCACCACAATCGCACGTTCAACGGTGAAAGCATGCTCGCGCGACGGGACAGTGCCGCGACGCCTGTGAGCGCTGGGGTGGATGGCTGGAAGCGCGCTGCTGGCGGAGGTCGTCATGCTTCGCAGCGGAAGCAACGGAAGCAACAACGCCAGGGGGATGTGGTGGATTTGCCCGCCAACTGGGAAGTGCGCATGGACAAGCGCACGGGCCAGCGGTACTTTGTGGACCACAACACACAAACGACATCCTGGGTGGATCCACGCGATATGTGGCGTCGACCAGAGAGGTTTGAGGAGTGCAGTGACGGCGAGCTCCCTCTTGGGTGGGAGATGGCGTACGACCCGGCAGTTGGCACGTATTTCATCAACCACAACACTTGGACGACGCAGCTGGACGACCCTCGCTTCGGGCCCGGCTATCACCAGCACACGGTAATGCCGCGCATGCCAGCAGCATGGTGGAAGAAGGGCCGCATACCGCGCACCGCATCAATGCGGTCGTACGCAAGCACGGCCGACAGCCGCCTGACGTCTGCCACGTCGCTGGACGACTCCATGCTAAACACCTCTGCAGCCAGCAGCAACGTGGATGCTGCAATGGATGAGCTCAGGCAACAGCTGCAAGACTTGCGTGGGCAGATGCTCAAGCTTCAGGGCGAGGCGGCGCAGTATGGCGACGACCCTGCCGTGCAGCGTGACATGAAGCGCGTCAAGACAACCATGCAGGAGCTCTCCAAGCACCTGCGCAAGCTCCAGAAGCAGCATAAGCGAAGCCGGATGCCGTCCATCTCGTCGTCGCGCCATGGCCGGGACGGTCGTCGTGGACGGGACATTGCTCTTCAGGAGCAGCTCCGCCGTCTGCAGTTGGAACAGCGAACGGAGCGGCGCATCTCGGACCTCAAGTTCCAGCTCATGCACGACCTGCATCAGCTGCAAGTGGACGTGGTGAAGGCGGCTGCGCTCCGGCAGCAGAGCAATGGCGCTGGCGTTGGTGGTGGTGCAACAACGCCCTTGCCATCGGAGCTGGCCTCCAGTGGTGCCCTTGCCGACATTGCTTCCCGCCAACGCCAAGTCGAGACGGCCGTTGAGGTGGGGACAGGAACGTGTTTGTGTGTGTGTGTGTGTGTGTGTGTGTGTGTTTGCGTGTGTTTGCGTGTGCGTGTGTATGTGTGTGTGTTTGCGTGTGCGTGTGTATGTGTGTGTTTGCGTGTGCGTGTGTATGTGTGTTTGTGTGTGTGTGTGTGTGTGTTTGTGCGTGTGTACGTAATTGTGCATGGGCATCCGACAAACTCACACGAACACGTACGCCCTTCGTGCAACAATGTGTGTTTTCGCATGTTTACAGGAGCTGATTCGTCAGCGCCGCATTGAGGAAGAAGAGTGGCAAGATACCATGAAGCACATGACGCAATGGGTATGACATCAGGAGTGATGCACCACAACGCACTGGCGTCGTTGCAACCTCCATGTTTCGTGCTCTCCCTGTTCCCTCCCTCCACATACACGCACATAATTCTTGCGAACTCATAAGCTCACCCCCCACACACACACAAACAAACAAACACACACACACATACACACACACACACACACACACACACACACACACACACACACACACACACACACACACACACACACACACACACACACACGCACGCGCAGTTTACGAAGCAAGAGCAGAAGCAGGCAGGTATGGAGGACACGCTGCGCACCATTCTGGCTAACACGACGGCGGCCGCCGACAGCAAGGAGGCCGGGCTGGGTGGCGATGCAGCAAAGCAGTTTGCAAACCTGGAGCGGGCGGTGAAGGAGCTGGCAGACAAGCAGGACCGAAGGGAGACCGAGGTGTGGAGGGAGCTGGAAGCGGCGACGCAGGTGTTTGTGTCCAAGGGGCAGCTGAAGGAGATGCTGGACGGGCAATCGGCGCAGATTGAGGAGTTGCGACGCATGCTGCTCGCACGGCAGGAGGGCCCCAAGACGCGCGTGTGGGACGACGACCTGCAAGTGTTTCTGGAGAAGAACGAGGCCGGCAAGTATGTGTCACGGCGCCGCAGCGCGCGCTCCTCTCGCCCCGGCAGCACCACCCGCGGCATGTCGTCATCGGAGGCGTCCTTGACCGTACCGCCGCCGGGCACGCCGTCCCCCGTCACACACATGGATGCACTCCTGCGCCAGCAGCAGCAGCAGCAGCAGCAGCAGCAGCAGCAGCAGCAGCAGCAGGGGAGCAGTGGCGGTGACGAGGTCGGAAGAGGTGATGGAAAGGGCGGTGCGCGTGGTAACACCCAGCCACCATCATCGCCATCGCCTTCGTCAACAACATTGTCCACAGCGCGCAAGCAGCTGTCCCCAGCGACGCCTGCAGGGCGTGTGCGCCAGGAAGCCAGCAGTGGCCTGACAGCGACCACCAGCGCCCGCCGTCGCCGCCGCCAGCAGCCGCAACCACCTGGTCAGGCCGCAACACCGTTGTCTCGAGGTGGTGCTGACAAGCTCCGCGCCGCGCGGGAGCCTTTGTCCGCTGACGCCAGCAGCATGCCAGCAGCAGGTGGTGAGAAGAAGAATGATGACTGGAAGGTGGACGCAGCTGGTGTCCAAGGTGGCCGTGCCGGTGTGTCCGTGGTGGTGGAGGAGGACGAGGGGCACGAGGATAATGGACAAGGACAGGTGGCACATGCTGAGCGAGGTGGCGTTGTGTCGCCAATGGGAGTTGTGACGCCCGGCATGGTGTCGCTGAGGAGGCGAAAGGGAAACTCAGCCGGGGATCGCACAGCCGCTGGTGTTGCTGCTGCGGATGATACGCGCCGGCACACGGTGTGGGACCGAGAAGATCTGGATGTCACAGGCGGCATCGGTAGCAGTGTCAACGATGGCGTGGGTGGCGATGGCGGCGATGCTGAGGAGTTGGCACACCTGACGCGTGTGCTTGAAGATGAGGATGCGCGGGTGGTGCAGCAGCTGCAGGACGACATCAACTCCGCTGCTGCGCGCTTGGAGTCTGTGCGGCTGCAAGTGGAGGAGCGGCGGCGGGTGCTGCAGACCAAGACGGAGCAGTCGCCGACGTACCGGTTGAAGCAGGGCAAGTTCCACGCTGCGCAGGCTGAGCGGGACGAGCGGTGGATGCACGACGAGACGATTCAGCGGCTGCTGCGGCTGGCGGACGAGGAGCGGGCGAACCTGGAGAAGCTACGGGCGAGGGCGGAGCAGAAGGTGAGCGAGCTGCGGTTCAATCAGCGCCGCAACCCGCACGGCCTGTCGTTCCATGACAAAGTCGCCTTCTTCGGCACGGCTAGCGCGGAGGTGGTTGATGTCTCTGATGACCTGGTTGGACCAAAGCCGTTTGGGCTCAAGCGCCAGATTGATGGCTCCCTTGACGTCAAATACGAGCAGTCTGCATGTTGATGAGCTCATGCGCGGGCATGTGCAGTGGAGGGAGTGTGCCGTGCAGTTGTGGGGGGGGGGGATGTGTGTGTGTCTGTGTGGATGCGTGATGTGTGTGTGTGTGTGTGGGTGTGCGTGTGTCGTACAGTGTGGGTGTGTGCACTGCAGTGTGGGTGTGAAGTGCGCTTGCTTTTTCTGCTCCTGCTGCTGCTTGCCTGGTTGCCTGACAACAGAGAGAGCAGGTGTGTGTGTTTGCCATGTCCCTGACTTGTCCTACCCTGACGTCATGAGTACAGCTTTTATGTGCAATATCCACCAATTTTTATCGATCAAGTTGTCAGCGAAGCGCAAGATCGAAGCACCGAAGGTGAGACGATGACGCAGACAGATGTGCGATGCCACTCGGTGTGGGGTGTGCGTGCTTTGTGGGTGGTTTGGTTGGGCAGTGGTTGGATGATGGAGACATGTTGCTGCGGCAGTTGCCAGTTGCTGTTCGTCCGGTCAGCTTTGGTTGTTGTGTTGGATCGTCGTTGGGTTGACGTCGTTGGGTCAGGCAAAGCACCGAGGCGAACAAACTTTTCGCACACACGCACGCGTGCTTGCGTGCCTGTGTTGCACTCGAGTCGTCTTTTTGCCGGCTGTCGATCTTTCAGTAGCCACCCTCCTTCGCAACAACAACAACTCGCATTCTCAACAACAAACCTACACATTCACACACACACACACACACACACACACACACATAAACGCAGACGTCGCCAGATACACACACACACACACATCTCAACGCACCCACAGTCGCACTCACAGTTGCACTCACAGTCGCAGTCACTCCCTCACACTCACCCTCACGACGCATATACACCCATACGTCTTCCCCACATCGTCCCTCCTACGTCCTCTCTCAGCCAAGGAAACGAACCAACCCCCCAAGTCAAGCCAAGGATGAAGGCGATTTCGGCGGTGTGCCTGTGCCTGGCCGCGCTTGTTGCGGCTGTGGCTGCGGACTGCAGCGACTCTGTCATTGAGACGTCCGAGGAGTGCCTTGCGACGTGCCAGGCCCAGTTTGGCGTCTCCGAGTACGAGTTCTCCAGCATCAACGGTGACACGTTCTGCACCTGCGTGACGGCCGGCGGCGACGAAGCCGTGTGCACGACAACCACGACGACGACCACGACGACGACAACCACGACCACCACGACCACCACAACCACAACCACGGTGTACACGCCGCCAACGGCAGACGAGTTCCGCACCCGCCTGGCGGAGCTCCTGGGCGCGGGCTGCGTCAACGCTGTCAACAGCAGCATGAGCACGGAGTTTGCCACGTGCGCTGCCACCTACAACGCGGCCCTGCCCACGTACGAGGACATGACCACGCAGGACTACCTCAAGGAAGTGTGCCAGAGCACTTGCGTTGCCACCATCTTCGACTCGATCAACATCCTCACGCAGGCCAACTGCATGCTGAGCGATGAGGACGCGCAGCAGTTTGTGGGGCAGGACGACATCCTGGACCAGATTATCGCCTTTGCCTCCCTGCAGGACCGGCTCAGCGTGATGTGCGCGCGCAGCTCCGTCAACAACAAGTACTGCGGCCTTGCCCTTGACAACCTCAAGTTCTTCCGTCTCAACAACACCGACTACGGCGAGAGCCACTGCCAGACCCTGGTCAAGCACGGCAACTGCCTTGGCACTATCCTCATGGCCGGCGAGGTGTGTGTGTATGTGTGTTTGTGTTTTGTGTTTGTTCGTTCGCGTTTGGTTTGTGTGTGTTGTTTGTGTTTGTGTTGTGTGTTTGTGTTTGTGTTGTGTGTGTGTTTGTGTTTGTGTTGTGTGTGTGTTTGTGTTTGTGTTGTGTGTATGTGTTTGTGTTTGTGTTGTGTGTGTTTGTGTTTGTGTTGTGTGTGTGTGTGTTTGTGTTGTGTGTATGTGTTTGTGTTTGTATGTGTGCGTGCGTGCGTACGATGTTTGCTTCTGTCACTCTGCCACCTCATCTCCTCATCTCATTTTCGCTTCATTTCGTTGCCCTCCTTCCATTCATATCTTCATCTCACCTCATCTCCCCAACGTCTCACCACGTCATCATTTCCACTGCCTGTCCACACGTGCAGGAGAATCCGCTGTTGCTTGAGCCATTTGTGCCCAGCAACGAGGACATCTCTGGCGTTGTGTGCAGCGTTGCGGCTCACTGCCGCGCCGTGGGCGTCAACACCGTGCTCATGTCTGCCGCCACCACCGAGGACCTGGCCACCCTCTCTGCCAGCGGCACCACCTCCTCTGCCACCACCACCACCGCCAGCGCGGCCGTTGCCCTGCTTGCCGTCGCCGCCGCCGCGCTCCTTGCATAAGGGGGGGACGTATCATCAATCCTTTTGTCCCACATGCCACTTCATTCTCCCCTGTCATCACAACACTTTATTCTCCCCTGTCATCACAACACTTTATTCTCCACCCCACTTCCCTCCTTTCCTCTCTTCTCATGGTTGCCTCGCCTCGACTCTCCACCAGCAGCCGCGCTTGTCACTGCAACGATGCTTGTACCCTTGGGTGCTGTTTTGCTAGCCCGCTCCTGTATTTACACAAGCGCAATCGGTGACACAGGCCACGTGCTGTTTGGGGCGGTCCCTTGTCACTGCTGTGTGTGGTTGTTCATGGTTGATGGTCGCCATGTCGCCATCATTGTTGTTGTATGACCTCTCCTTCTCCTTCCTGCCTCGCCACCCACCGCAGAAGCTTCCATGAAGCCACTTCCCCCCTGAGTGCCTGGTTACGCGTGTCTTGTCTTGTCTGGTCTTGTTGCGTGCGTTTGCGTTGTATGCGTGTGTGTGTTTGTGCGTGACTGTCACGGTTTCCCTCTCTGTGTGTGTGTGTGTGTGTGTGTGATTGGTTGCTTCTTATTCGACAGCATGTTGATTCATTCTCCTTTTCCTTTGTGAGCGTGTCTTGTTTCGGGCGTGTCCATGATGCTGCAAGCGTCTTGTCAGCACCACCAGCAAACCAGAAATCAAATCAGCGAGACAGGTCATGTGTGTATGTGTGTATTTCGCAAGTAACGTCATGCCAACCCACAACGTGTGTGAAATGCGAAATGGGAGCGCACGCAACAAGCAACCCGCACCCTTCCATACACACACTCACATGGACAGTTGCCAGATATGATGTGTGCAATCGAGCTGGGCAAGTGGGTTTCTACAACGCCGCCGCTGCCGCTGTTGATGTTGGCGACGACAATGATGATGGTGGAATGGCAACACATCGGCCGTTTCCCAGTTCGGGCCATCTCACGACACACGTGTCTGTGTGCGCGTGCGTGCGTGCATGTGTGTGCGTGTGCGTGTGTGTGTGTGTGTGTGAAATGCAGCGTGACACACAAAGCAAACGAGTCCAGTGTCACTGGCGGAAAGCAATCAACGACACAACAACTACGACCTTCAACATCTGCACAGACACACAGACACACACACACACGCACGCAGACACGCAGACACACACACACACACACACACACACACACGCAGACACGCAGACACACACACACACACACGCAGACACACACATACGCACGCATAGAGCAACACGCCACTGTTCTGTTCTTGCTTCCATTCAATCTCTGCCTTTCTCTCACTCACGACACAGGTCAATTTGCAGGTTTGACGCACCGACAAACCACTGCAGCAGCTTTGCGGAGAGGGATAGCGTGGTGACACGGCATATGCTCTCCACATAGACGATGGTTGCATCGTTCAGCCCAAGCACCTTAACCATGGCAGCGGCAACAACGCGTGTGACCGACATACGCCGAGGCGAGGACCGAGTGGACAACATGGTCACGATCAGGCAGCGCCCCCGTCACCACGACCAACCCTTGACCACACGCACCTTCAAAACAAAAGCGGCGATGCACACGGGCACACACGACCCAGGCCCGTTGACGAGGATCTGATGTTCAGTTTGAATTGGGAGGGGGGGAGGAGTTAGGGTGAGGGACCGAAGCGGATTGTAGCTGAAAACGTAATGGCCTCTGCAACAGCGCACATAGACAGAGAGGCAGACAAACTGGCATAGCAAACGTGCACAGTCACACGCACAGGCACAGACACAGTCACACGCACAGACACACACACACACACACACACACACACACACACACACACACGCTGATGCGTGCACATCTCACCAGTTGTGGTTGTGTACGAAGCAGCAACGGAAAGCTGTCAATCAGGGCGCGTAGGGTTGACACCACAGATGTCATGTACGACTGCCCCACTTCGCGGCTGCGCGATATCGCATGAAAATGTACCCCCTGCCTCAATGGCACCGCATAATGTTGCGCGCGTGCATGCGAGTGTGAGAGTGTAAGTGTGAGTGAAAGCGAGTCTGGGTGAGTTCAGCGAAAATCTTCTGTGAAGAGAACGGAAGCGGGGAAGGGGAGAGAGACACCACACTACACTACACACACACACACACACACACACACACACACACACACACACACACACACGTGCACGCACCTTGGAAACTGTGCTCTGTTGCTGTTCAAAGTTGACTGCCTTTTCTCTGCTATGTGCATCTGTTTGAGCGACAACGTAGTGCCTGGGGTACAACCGTTTGTTTGGTTTGCTGTCCTCACTCGCTGCCCGCAGCAGCTTCAGCATCTCCATGGTATGTCCACCTGAAAGAGAAGGGTGCGCGAGGGTCCACGTCAGTACCGACATGAACAAAAAACATAAACTGGTGCACTCACACATACAAGTGCAACCAAACACAAGTGCAACCAAACACAAGTGTACCCACACACACACACTCACACACACACACACACACTCACACACTCACACACTCACACACACACACTCACACACACACACACACACACACACACACACACACACACACACACACACACACACACACACACACACACACACACACACACACCCCGACCTGATCCGAGCACGATGAGTGTCGAGCACTGTGTTGGCAGAGCAGTGCGGCTGCGTGCTTGCTTGCTTGTGTTTGTAATCTCTCCTTGACCAAGCTCCGCTTGCCGCGCACGGATCCCCAACAGCACATCCACCACCCTCCCCACGCACCACGCCACTACCACTCCAAGCACAAGCACAAGCACAAACACACCCAGCGTCATCATCGTCCACCCACCGTCCGATCCGCCGCAACTGTCTCACTGCGTTTTGTGGTGTCGCACATTTGACCGCGAACCGCGGGCTTGTTCAAACGGGTTTGTTGTTGGGACGTGTTTGAACCACCACCACTCCACACTGCCTGCCGCAAACACCTGTCTGCCTTGCTTGCACTGCTTGGTTGCACCAAAGATAGATAGATCGAAGATACCCACATTGCCTTTCCACCTCTTCTTCCACTTGACGAAGACCCAGCGTGAGGATGCGGCGATCGGCGGCACCGAGCCAGCGCTTCAAGGCGCCAGGCAAGGCCAAAGGCGCCATGATGCGCGCAGCCTTCCTGCCTCCACGCACCGCGCACGGCACCGGCACCGCGAAACCAGTCACTGCGGCTGCTTCAACTCGTGCTGCAACCACTTCGTCTTCCGCGCCAGCATCTACAGCAACAACGCCTGCAAAGGAGTCCAAGGCCACCGCAAGCACCGCAAGCGCCACGCCTGGTGCTGGTTCTGTGGGCACGTCGACGACGCCTGCTGCACGTGGGGCTGGTCTGCCGAAGAAGAGCCCGCTGGGCGCTGTGAATGGGCAGGCACGAAAGCGCGCCAAGTTTTCCATGCCCACGCAGAACATGGATGTTGTGCGCAAGAAGCAGGAGCAAGATTCCAAGGACATGCCCTGGCGCTACTTTTCCGTCGTCTGGTGCAAGTTCAGCCGCAAGAAGCACAAGACCTGGGAGGGCGACGCCATCTTGCTGGTTCGTGTTGACCATTGCGTGTGTGTCTGTGCACGTGTGTGTGTGTGTACGTGTGCCTGTGTTTGCGTGTGTGGACGTGTGTGTGTCTGTGCACGTGTGTTTGCGTGTGTGTGTGTGTGCACGTGTGTTTGCGTGTGTGTGCGTGTGCGTGTGTTTGCGTGTGTGTGTTTGCGTGTGTGTGTCTGTGCACGTGTCTGTGTGTGTGGGCGTGACGTGCGCGTATTGTCTCCCAATCAAGGTTCTTACACCCCCTCCCGTTTCAACTTCACATACACGCACCCACACCTAAAAGGTGCGACACACGACGGCCATCTTGAAGGACACGGAGGGCAAGGACGTGTCCAAGAGCACGACGATGAAGGCCAAGGACCTGGCCAGCTTGAAGGAAGGCGAAACGCTGTACTTTGGCGGCAAGGAGATTGAGATTATGGGCACCATCAGCGAGGAGGCATACGCAACGGGCAAGTGCTTCCTTGGCGGCGGAGGTGGGGCCACCAGCAACACGCCCAAGCCCCCAGCCAGGCGCGCCCTGCCAAAACCAAAGGCCTTCAAGCGCGTCACTGCCGGCGGTGGGGCCGCTGGGAACGGCAGTGCCTCTGGCGGTGGCCGCACGTCGCCCACGAAGAAGCCCATCACCCCGCGCTTCGACCCCAACGCGCCAGGCGCCCTGGTCATCAACCACCCCGCCGGCGCCAAGCACCAGGTGGTCCCCGTTGTGGTTGACCCGCACCTCGGCGTGCACCTCCGCCCGCACCAGCGCGTGGGCGTGGAGTTTCTCTGGCACTCTGTTGTCGGCAAGCCCCACGTGGAGGGCCAGGGCTGCATCCTGGGCGACGAGATGGGTCTTGGCAAGACGCTGCAGTGCATCACGCTCATCTGGACTGCGCTCAAGCAGAACCACGACGGCAAGCCCCTGGCCCGCCGCGTCATGGTCGTGTGCCCGGGCAGCCTGGTGCGCAACTGGGAACAGGAGTTTCGCAAGTGGCTCGGGCGCGAGCGCATCAAGGTGTTTGTGGTCAAGGCCGACAAGCCCGTGCGCGAGTTTGCCGCGGCCAGCGTGTTCTCCGTGCTGCTGCTGTCCTACGAGATGCTGCTGCGCAACATTGCCGACGTCAGCAAGCTCAACCTCGACATTGTTGTGTGCGACGAGGCGCACCGGCTCAAGAACACGAGCGCCAAGACCACCATGGCCATGATGGGCCTGCGCGCCCGCCGCCGCATTGCCCTCACCGGCACACCCATCCAGAACGACCTGCAGGAGTTTTTCGCCATTGTCGACTTTTGTAACCCAGGCATCCTCGGCACGCAAGCGGTGCGGTGGTTGCGTTGTGTGTTGTGGACACCTTGGCTCTTGTGTTAATCCTCTTGCTGCCACTCCATCCACCTTCCGTCCTCTCGCTGTTTCCCCCACAACACCCACCCACGCACACACACACACACACACACACCCACACACACACACACACACACACACACACACACACAAACACACCCACACATGCACACACACATGCAGTGTCTTATCCACAAATACTGTCTGACACCCACCCACCACACCCACACTTCATCTCCTCTCTCTCTCCCCCACCGCCGTCCCTCCTCCCACATCAACGGCAGACGTTCCGCCGGGTGTATGAGCGGCCCATCCTGGAGTCTCGGCAGCCCACGGCGACGCCGGCAGAGCGCAAACTCGGCGACGCGCGCGCCACGGAGCTGACGCGCATGATCTCCTCGTTCTGCCTGCGCCGCACCAAGGAAATCAACCTCAGCTACCTCCCGCCCAAGTCGGACTACGTGCTGTTCTGCCGCCCGTCGCAGACGCAGCTGCAGCTGTACCGCGCCCTGCTGCGCTCCACAGCCGTCAAGTCGTGCTTGCAAGGCCGCCTCTCTGCCGGCAGCCACCTCGTCATCATCACCGCCCTCAAGACCCTGTGCAACTCCCCAACCATCCTCTGCCGCAAAGGCCAGCCCGACGCGGGCAGCGGTCGCTCCCGCACACCCAGGCCAAAGAAGAAGGCGACAGCGACGACGAAGAGCAGCAGCAGCAGCAGCAGCAGCGGCAGTGGTGGTGGTGGTGGTGGTGGTGGTGATGGCAATGATGACGACGACGATGATGATAACGAGGACGATTTCGTGCGGGATTTGATGGTGGAGGAGCTTGGGCGGCCTGCGCTGTCCACGCTGGACGACGTGGAGGACGTGTCGCTGTGCGGAAAGATGCAGCTGCTCTCGCACATGTTGCAGCACTGGCGTGCGCACCCGGCCAACGAGCGCGTGCTCATCGTCTCCAACTCCACCAAGGTGCTTAGCCGCGTGCAGGCCCTGTGCGAGCAGTGCGCTTACCCGTTTCTGCGCCTGCAGGGCAACACGCCCACGCACAAGCGCCTTGAGCTTGTGAACCGCTTCAACAGCCGCGTGCGCGACGACTTTGTGTTTCTCATGAGCAGCAAGGCCGGTGGCGTCGGCCTCAACATTGTCGGCGCCTCCCGCCTCATCCTCTACGACACGGACTGGAACCCAGCCAACGATCGTGAGTCGGTTGTGGGACCGGGACAGAGAGACTGTGTCATTGGGCCGTTTGTTTTATCTCGCATGCGTGTGCGCATGTGTGTGTGTGTGTGTACATGAGCGTGTGTTGTTTTTGCTTCGTCTTGACTATGCCTCACACACATGCACACGCTCACACATACACATACATACATACATACATACATACATACATACATACATACATACATACATACATACATACATACATACATACATACATACATACATACATACATACATACATACATACATACATACATACATACATACATACATACATACATACATACATACATACATACATACATACATACATACATACATACATACATACATACACACACAACCTGTTACCGTTTAGTGCAAGCCATGGCACGCGTGTGGCGCGATGGGCAGAAGCGACACGTGTACGTGTACCGCTTCCTGACCACAGGCACGATTGAGGAGAAGATTTACCAGCGGCAGGTGCACAAGCAAGGCCTGAGCGGCTCTGTCGTGGACAAGCAGGGCAGCAAGAAGACGGCGGGCACGAAGCAGGTTGCTGGTTTCTCCATGGAGGAGCTCAAGGACATCTTCTCCCTGCGTGAGGACACCAAGTCGGACACCAACGACCTGCTCAAGAAGTTTGCTGGCGAGGATGGCAGTGGCAGCGGGCGCCAGAAGTCTGCCTCGCTCTCCCTCGACACGCTGCTGACGTGGAATCGGCAGCTGGCGCCGTTTGACCACGCGCGCTTTGACGACGAGGCGCTCAGGGCCGTGGACGACGCAGCAGGGGGCTTGCTCACGTGCGCGTTCCACACGAGCTCCAAAGACGGCGGCGCTGGCGACGTGGACAAGGAGGTGGCTTCGGCCGTGCTCACCGAAGCTGCCAGCGGTGACGACAATGATGAGGAAGACGCAGACGAAGGAGACGAGGAAGCAGAGGAGGAGCAAGGGGAAGGAGAAGAGGAGGAGGAGGAGGAGGAGGAGGAGGAGGAGGAAGGTGAAGAGGTGAGCAAGGAGGCAAGCAAAGCCGGCAGCAGCATCAACACGAGGAGCACGAGCAGCAGCAGTGGCAGCAGTGTGCAGCAAGGATGGTCCAACAACCTCGACACCCGCGAGCTTGTGCTGGAAGACGATGATGATGACGATGACGCGTTTGTGCCCTGATGTGGTCAGCGCAGCCATGCAAAGAAGCCAGTGTTCGTTGTCCTTCTTCGGTTTCTGTGGTAATTGATTGATGATTGATTTCTCTTCAACTGACAGACAGACAGACACAGTGTCCTAAAAGTGCAGCAGCCTGCTGACGCGAGAAGCAATAAACAAACAGCTTCAGGCTCAGAGTCACATTATCGATCATTGTTGATGGACAAGCGAAGTGGGGAACATGCACACGGAAGCGAATCGGAATATTTGACGCAAATGTAACCACAAAACAACGAAACTGGCAAGGGCACATAGATAAATCAGAGGGTTGAAAGTATGGAGCAAAGCAAACAGGGTCACGATGGCGCGTTGTCATCAGTTGCGCGGCTGGCAGAAACACGGTGCGTTGTGGGCTGCATGTCCAAGGTGTTGCTAACGCCAGCACGACGACTTGTATCTGCGTTCGGCCTGAGTGAGCTTCTTTGAATGGGTCGCAAGCGTCGCCCACCCGTGCGTTGTGAGTGCTGCGTCGTTGATGACGGTGGTGCTGCTGACGATGCTGATGGTCTTGCTGTTGATATCGGTGTCAGTATGGACGCTGTTGACGATGTCATTGTGGATGCTGTTGTTGTTGCTGCGATGGTGAGGTCCGGGTGGCGTTGCAGTGGCGGCAGTGATGGCGGTGGTCGGGCTGACGGGCGTGACACAGGTGCAGATCCATGGCGCCGTTGCTGCTGCTGGCGGTGATGATGGCCAGAGCCAGAGCCAGAGCGGCTGCTGCTCGTACCGCCGTGCACGCCGGCACCACTGATGGCAATGGTAAGCATGTTGTGTGTATATGTGTGTGTGTCAGCAAACACGAAGACATGCAAACGTGTACACAGCATGCGCACACATACACAGCATTTGCATACACAGCACACACACAGCATTTGCATACACAACACACACACAGCATTTCATACACAGCACACACAGCATTTGCATACACAGCACACATACACATGTCCGCCTCACCTGAGCGCGAGGGATGCGGACGACGCACGCAAGATCTGGTCATGCATGCGCTGGCGCTGCTCGCGTGTGCTGCGGCGGTGCAATCGCCCTCTCGGCTGGCGTCGTGCTGCGTTGCTGTTTACAGCAAAGCTCGCGCTTCCCATGCCAGGTACAACCATGCCAGGTACACGCGCAGCACCAACATGGCCCGCATGCGGCTGCGACGCGTGCCTTTGTTGGCGCTCACCCCCCTCTTGTGATGCTTGTCGACGTTGCAGTGAAGACGATGATGGCGCAAGCGTGCTTAATACTGTCGCCGCTGGTGTTGCCGGTGAAACTGATATGCTCCCTGTACTGGTGCCGCCGTCACGTCTCGTCGACATCATCTGTTGTTGGATCAGCCCCGCTTCGCTGCTGGCACGTGGTCCCATCACTGCTGCTGTCGCCGCACCACGGAGCTGCAGCTGTGCCAGCGCCTCCCGCTGCTGTTGCATATCCTCCCTTTTGTCTACTTCTTCCTCGTCTTGAGGACGGGGCCTTCGGGGTGGTCGGGGTGGTCGTGGTGGTCGTGGTGGTCGTGGGTGTTGGGACCTGGCTGCCCCTCCTCGTTGCGCTGGCTGATGCGAATTATTCCTTCGAGCAGCAGCATTGTTGCTGCTACTGCTGCTGCTACTGCTACTGCTGGTGTCTGTGCGTGCTGACGCCACTGGTGCCGTCGAACTGACTTGAAGTGACCCATGCAGTTCCAGCGGAGGCGCAGGCTGTAACTCAGGCAGCTGGCGCGGTTCGGTGGTGTGTGTGCTGGTCCTCCCACTTCTCCTTCTTGTTCTTCTGTCCACAGCGTCCTGACTGGCACGCGCGCTGCCACTACCGCTGACACGACCACCTGCATCACTGTGCGCGTCCTCGCTCGCCGCGTGGCGCACTGCAGCGCCCTCACCCTCCAGCACCAGCGCTGGCGGTCCCTGCTGTTGCTGCTCTTGTAGGTGCATCGTACCACGACCACCATCTCCCGCCAGCCTTCCCCGTCGTCTCCGCCCCCGCTGCTGCTGCCGCCGCTGCTGCTGCTGTTCATCGTCGTGCGGACGTGCTATGGCCTCTTCGGCTGTCCCCGAGCCAACACCACCCTGCACGCGCCTGCCGTGTTGCCGTTGTCGTACCCGTTGCTGCTGCTGCTGCTCTTGCTGCTCTTGCTGTTGAGCACTCGGTTGCGGTGGTGCTGGCGGCGGCCGCGGCTGACGTGTTGATGTGATCGCGCCACCATCACCACCACCACCACCACCACCACTGGCTATGGTGTCGACAGCCTCGGCGCCAACGCTCAGCCCATCAATGGGGCAGCAGTTGCGCTGTTGTGTCAAGTACGGGTCAATGCACGCCTTGTGAAAGACATGTCCGCAGCCAAGCTTGCGTACGGTTGCGCCCTGGAGCACGTGCTGACTGCACACGTCGCATGTCGTTGGCGGGGACGCGCGTGCCAGCGGGTGGCGTGCGTTGACCACAAAGGCAGGGTATGCTTGGTCGAGGGCGCGGGTGTCTGCGAGAGACACGGCAGCTGGGCGGTCAAGCAAGAGTAGCATGTCGTAGTCGGCGTCAGAGAGGTCACGCTGCTGCAGCTGCTCAATCAGGGCGCGGGGCAGCGCAGCCCGATCAACAACCCTGGCAGTGGTGGTGGTGGTGGTGAAGAGGTGGGGGGGGGCGAAGGAGATCACGTGGCGTGTGAGTGAGGTGAGAGCATAGGGGGAGACAGGGACACGACAAACACTACTTCAACTTGTGGATGAATGCACAGAAAGACACACAGGCAGGCAGTCAGGCAGAAAGACACACAGGCAGGCAGAAACACACACACACACACACACACACAGACGAACTTTGGCTGCGCCTTTGTGGTTGCCTTGCAGGTGAAATTGTGTTGGGAGTGTGCACCTGCGATAAAGCACGCCTGGCACAGATCAAAGGAGGCGCACACACGACACGTGTAGAGCTCCCCCTCAATCGGCGCTGCTTTGCACTGCCCGCACGTGTGCCCAAGATGCTGGTCATCACGTGCCTTTCGCGCTGTTCGTTTGGTCTTGGGCTGCAGACACAGCTGCCGCACCTGCGCAAAGTCGCCAAATGAAACACGGCACAGCGGGCAGCGAATATTCTGCACGAGCAAAGGGAGATAGATGAGCAGGGGGACGTGAGTGTTGGGTGGCGGAGTGCGAGTGGAGGCTGTGATGTCGTGGGCTTGAAAAAGACGTCCAAGTTTGGGTAACCAAAGGCATCAGAGCGCGCGCACACACAATACAACAGACATACACATACACGCAACACACACACACTGTCCTACAAACAAACAAGCACACACACACACAAACACACAAACACACACACACACACACAAACACATACAACACTCAAACACACACACACACAAACACATACAACACTCAAACACACACACACACACAAACACATACAACACTCACACTGACATACATACACATGTACAACACGCACACAAACACACACACACCTGTGTTTCGCCCTGGGACTTTGCGTGTTTTGCCCACTCGTACATGCAGTCAGCATGGACAGACATACCGCAACCATGATGGCAGTACACGATGGCTTGTGTTGCATCATCTCTGTGCGTTGGCGTGACATGCATGTCAGTTGGAGGTGAGCCGTGTGTGCAACTCTGGACCTTCAAGAGCAGCCATGCGTGGAGCACGAGCACAAGGCCGTGGTGGGAAAAAAACAAGCAGAGTGGTTGTGCTTACGGTGTGAGGAGTTCGCATTGGCAGATGGGGCACACGTCGTCCTCTGTGATGGGCCGCTGTTCGACGGTGCCACCGGCCTGTCCATCTTCACCCTTTCCTTGCGCTTCTGTCTCTGACGACGATGGCTGCTGGGGCGGCGCCTCGCTCCCGCGTAGCAGCTCCTGTACTTCTCGGTCGATGAGCGACTGCTGCCAGACGATGGGGTTCGTCTCAGGAACCCGCAGCTTGCGCAACAGGACCCACAGGATGTGAACGCACAGCTCGTGTTCCTTGCGGTACTGAGGGCACGAGCAGGAGCTCACGCCGCCAAGCAGCACCTTGTACTTCTTATTCACTTGTGGATCCTTCACCTGTGCGCGTGTGTATGTGCGTGTGTTGTGGAGTGCAATTGGGAGGGGGGAGAGGGAGGGGAAGAGAGTCAGCGCCGGCTCTGCACACAAGCACACACATACACACACAGACACAGACACAGACACAGACAGACACACACACACACATACACACACACACACACACACGCACACACACAGACACAGACACACACGCACGCACACACGCACACACACACATACACACCATACACACATACACACATACACACATACACACATACACACATACACACACACACACACACACACACACACACACACACACACACACACACACACACACACACACACACACACACACACACACACACACACACACACACACACACACACACACACACAACCATCGCAGCTGTCGCAACCACGCTCCATGATCTGCAACATGCATCACAGCGCACCACGAAGCCTGTTGGGCCGGAGCGGGAGACGAACAAGAGGCGCGTGTTCTTGGCTTCTTCCACTCTGGTTCGAATCACCTCCGGGCACACCCGGCGCCATGGCATGGCACGTGACATGTCCTCACGCAAGCACCATGAACCTGCGTCGCTTGCTGGCTGCTGACAGCAATGCTGCTGATGGTGCTGTTGTCATTCGTTGCTATCGTCAGTCCTGTCTGCCTGATTGCTGCTGCACTTTTGAATTTCGACAAACACCAACCAACAAGGACGATGACCACTGGCAGCGGTGGTGGTGATGGCCAGTGGGAACGGTTCCAGGCCTTTGTTGGCAGGGTGAGGGAGAGGTTGGACGCGACAGGATGCACCTTGCCTGTGGCTCAGGCACTCTCCGAGGTCAGCAGTGCATGCGTGTGTATGTGTGTGTGTGTGTGTGTGTGCGTATCTGCACGCTCCCCACAAAACACTGCACCGCAGCACCAAACCATGCTCGCCCCTCACTCGCTTCCCACCGACCGCTTGCTCCTCTTCTTCTGCGTGACCACAGGCAGAGGAAGCACTTGCTGATGCGAAGCGGGAGTACCTCAAGAAGAAGATTATGTGCGACCTTGTGCGCGACATCGTCAACGAGGATTCAGCCATCGACCGTCCTCGAACGCAGCGGCACAACAAAGTATGCTGTGTGTGTGTGTGTGTGTGTGTGCGTTTGTTTGTTTTAGTGTGTGTGTGTGTGTGTGTGTGTGTGTGTGTGTGTGTGTGTGTGCGCGCGTGTGTGTGTGTTCGCTGTCGTGTTGCTGGTGTGCCGGCCCAGTTGGCGGTCACCTCTCACCCCCACAACTGATCCTTTCTTTGTCTGTAACCTGTTGGGCAGACGTGCGACACAGCTGGCCGGCTGTTTCACGCCGCGTGTGCGCAACACATGAGTCGAGTTGATCCTACCACAAACATCCGCCTCTTTGGCCTCGACACAGCAGACCTCACGTTGGAATGCGACGATGAAACGGTGCGCATTGTGTGTTTGTGTGTGTGTGTGTGTGTGTGTGTGTGTGTGTGTGTGTGTGTGTTTGTGTGTGTGTGTGTGTGTGTGTGCGTGGGAGCGGGGACGGCTTTGAGCGCATGCATAGCGGAATGCACTCTTGCTGCGAGTCATGTCTGCTGCTCGCTGTCTTTCGCACTAACGGCCTCTCTTGTTTGTGGTGCACGTGTTGCAGAGGCGGGTTGTGAGCCAAACCTTGGGCGACATCATGTCGTCTCACTTGACCAAGGTCGCCAGCAGTGTTGTCCGTATGCACCACTCCACATCTGAACGAGGTGAGGCTATTGCACAGAGAGAAAGTGTGTGTGTGTGCGTGTATGTGTGTGTGTGTGTGCGTGTATGTGTGTACGTGCTCCCTATCAGACATGCATTGCTTGTTTGCTCTTGCTTGTTACACACATCCAATGTGTGTTCACACAACACGTGCACGCACCATGTTCATCCACACACACACACACACACACACACTCGCTCTCGGCAGATGCGGAAGGGCTGCTTGTGGCGAAGAGCAAGCAGCTACCGGCGTTGCTGCGAGAAGAGAAAGCGGAGATGGGGGCAGCAGAGGCGCCGACACGGCAGCTGTTACTGCAACACATTGACGCGCTTAAGCAGCTCATGGAGGTGCGGTGGTGTCGCGCGTGCACGTGTGTGTTCATCCCATTCATATACTGTTGCAGTTCCTCTGCTTGAAGAGGCGGAGGTCTGCTTGCAGGCATCATTCAATCCCTGTACTCCTGCGCTCACGTTTTGCCCTGCTGCTGTGTTGACGCAACAGCTGCAAGTACAGCACCTCAAGACACTGGAGCACATTCTCCTCAAGTTTCGCATCGGTCAGATGGGACACAAACACACGGACATTTTACACACAACATACGCTGACGTGCATGTGGTGCACCTGTGATGCTTGTATTGCTGAAGTGAGCCTCTCATGTGTGTGTATGTTTGTGTGTGCACGTTGTGTGCGGGCGTGTGTGCGTGTATGTGTGTGCATGTTGTGCATGTTGTACGTGTGCGTGTGCGTGTGCGTGCATGACGTGTGCAGGTTTGCACGATGGCGACTTTACGTTTGCTGCGGGGCAGACGGTGCGTGCAAAGTGGCTCATCGTCCGCAGCAGAAAGGCGCGATACAGCCTCAGGTATGTGTGTGTGTGCGCATGTTGGCCGTGTTGTGTTATGTTTGTGTAGTGTGGTTGCCACGCACGCATGCATGCATGGGAAAGTGAAAGCATCTTTCTTGAGCTGTGGCTCACGTGCCCACATTGCTGTTGTTGCACGCCAGGCTGTGCATGCAAGACATCTTGGACAAAACGTACACGGAGCACACCATACCGCAGCTGCAATCCATCCACGCGGAGCTCCATCGCGCATATGAG